GAGCTTGTAAAAAATAGGCCGGCCATGACAGCTCCCTGAAGCGAAGCCACCACAAGTTGATCGCCCCCATGTTGGCACAAAAGGAAATGTCAGTTCATCACCAGAGTCGTTAGGATTTACCATCTGGGCACCATCAACGTTTGAACAAAATTTCACATAATACCTTAAGCGTTTTCTGCAGGTTTCATCAGTATGTGTGGCATTACCTGATGTTTTGATGGACGTAGCTTCGGTTCTGGTGTGACGTCAGTCTGCCTCGGGGGACATGGATAGAGAGAACAAATGTTACTCACAATAAGATGATGCCGCTCTCACCCACAACACATATAAACATTCAATAATTTCACAGAAATCAAAAAACACAAGCGCCATGTATGCAAACACTGCAGTTTAACATTTAGCCTCAAGTGCAAGGTGCACATTTTTGCAACATTTTAATTTTTCTTCATTAATGTTTTCAACACAGAGAATATTCAATGTGGAGAGGTGCAAGAGTCATTGCGGAGTTCACGTAAACAAATTACTCCTGCTCTGTGCCTCCTGTGTCATATGTGAGGAGCCCCGAAACAGCACCTCCAGCTTAATAGCCCTGGCTTCTATGATGTAAAGTTAGGGCCAAGGCCTGCTCTATCACCGGAGGGAAGGCTGATGTGGCTGCAGTATGTATGTTTACAAATGAGAAGAGGGGGACAATTTGAGTGTAAGAGAGAGAGAGGAGTCCGAGTGTGTGAATGAACTACAGTATGACACAGTAACAGACCAAGAAGAGTTAAGTTAAATTAGTGCATTGTGCTGCTTTTTATACAGATTTTTACAGCTAGAGGGGATTAAAGAACAATACGGTGTCCTTTCTGAAAATCTCAATAAATCTAATGTGTACAAATGAATTCCTGATAGACTGTAAAACAATTCATATGTTAACCAGCACGGCTCATCTCAGACTGCAGGCTACATAAAGCTCACAACCCTAACAGGCACATGCTACAATAAGGCTCCATCAGGGCAGCCTTTTAACAGGCAGCATGTTCCATGACCTCAACACCCATAAATCACATGACAGGTGTGTAGGCACAGGGTATCAAGAGCTGTGCAGGGCGCACACTGAGCGAAGTCTCTATGTTGCATAATCAATAGATATAAAAATAAATGGCCTGACCGTTATTCTCTCCCTGCTACCACTTTCTAATAAAATCCCAGTAATGCATATTTCATTTACTTTTATACTTATTGATTACCTGTACTCCAGTTAGTAAATCACGCGTCTATCGATCCCTCAATCGTACCTCTGTCGGACAGCACATAACCAGCCATTTGCGCCCCTGATAAAGAGCTCAGGCATTGAACTCCTCACAGTAAATCTTTGCAAACTAACTTTTTAATTCCAAAATCGATCCACGTTTAAACGTCGCATTATTTCACGAGGCACGCCTGCGGTATTAAAAGTAATACCCTGATGCATTTGGTCTTAATGTGTTAAGGTCCATCCCTCCTATCTCTTCCTTCATTACACCAAGGCCGAGGCACTCAGGGCCCCTGCAGCCCAGAGGGAGGTGAGGGCCCTACCCTGCTGCTGAGAGATGAGAGGTAGAGCCACTGTGGGGCCGCCAGGAGCCCAGTAAGACACACAGCACAACGCTAATCAAACATGAGAATATCATCAGCTGGCTCATTAACTGAGGCAAAACACCACACACTTCAGAGCAGAATCTAAAGGTGTTTTATAGGCATGGCTCAGAGATAAAAGGAAAGAAATGATTTAAAAAAAAACACACAACACTGTTTTTATTATTTAACATCTGTTACTTCATCAGCTTTAACAGTGTGACAGATGTTGGCCAGTTGTTTTTTTCCCTAAATTTACTGAAACTGTGATGAGAAAACAAAAAACGACTTGGAAGAAGACAAGTAATGAACAAAAAAGTCATGTGTATTGAAGACAGTCGACAACAAGTAAATTCCACCAAAGACGCAAGGACACAGGAAAAAGTCTCCAAGATAGATTTTTCAGGTCATATGAGACACTTTTAAATGCAGTGCAGTCCCTTAGGGTTACAGAGTAAAACAGCACTGACACAGGGTCAATTGTATTTTGGGCAACCACATCCAAAAGCAAATCTATCAATTAAAAATAATAAATCAAAAGAGGAGTGTGGAGCTGCAGTTACAAAATGGCCATCTATTTTCATTAGGGTAAATGGCGCTTCAGGTGTGAGCAGGATCTCAAGATTAATAGAGGTATTCAAATGAATCAGAAAGGATTAGGGTCTCCAGGGAACATAATCAATAGCTTCAAATCAATAATCAATAGGCCACTCACACCAATATACTAACTGCTGACACCGAGATCTCACGATTAAAATGAAAACTGGGAAGGGAGTGGCGTAAGACTATGATTTATCTCACAGCGCAGGTGTCATTTAGAAATAAACAAGTCAGTAGATAAAAGTTGCTGCTGCCTGGCTCAGGTGGGAGACAGCTATGCATTTTAACGTGGCCACCGGTCCTGAGCATTACAGCCAAATCCCACAAAGCATCACAGCTATTCACGCGCCAATACCGGGATAAACAGCATGCAGCCTCATACAGCCTTTATTACTTAATGTCAAATCTCTGATTGTTGCCGTCGACTGGTTGCAAACAGGAGATGACAGCTTTTATTAATACAGTATCATTTCAACCTGGCTGCAGTATAAGATTAATGTTTGCACTGTGCCCACAGAAAAAAACACTTTTCTCTCAAGGGTGTTTGGAAACAGAGAAAAGTCAGACGTACAGGGGCTCGGCACTGGAAATTGATCACCCAGGTGAAATGTACACAAGAAATCAAAATACAGTGAAGTGAACTCATGAGTGGACATTTTAAATCACACATTAATGATTGTGGCGTTTCTCGCCGCTAAGCAAAACCATTTTCTAATTGTCTAGGTGTAATTTGGAGGAAGTTGAAGGAAGTAAACGGGTGCCATATGTATGGGGGGCTGGGTCGTAAGGACAGAGCAGCCAACTCACTGGAGAGTAGATTTGAGCAGCTTTGGGAGATAGATTCAGCTCGTGCTGTCCAACGGGACACATCAGAAGCCCCTCTCGTCAATCCCCCCTCTCTCCCTCATTCATTTGGGAGTATGATTTATACTTTTTGAAGTGAAGGGTCTTGAATCCCACTATAAAGGAATTAAGAGCTTTCCCCTGAGTCCGCCATTCAAATGAGAGCATGGCAGGGATATGACGGCTTTTTAATAGAGAGAAATTAGTATTCACAATGCCTCAAACTGGAATCTGAAGGAACCTTTCAGGTGGAGAAGAAAGGACCAGTTTAGAAAAGAAAGCCCTAAGAAGTCGGGGGCTTTTCATAACAATCGTGTTTTTGCCCCTCATCAAGGAGTGCTGGAGCGCTCTGTGAAATAACCCAAGAGAGGGGAGGAAAAAGAGCATGTGTGAAACAAAATTAAGAATGCGCCGTAAATAGGCAGAGTGGAAACAATACAATGAGGAGTCCCACTGTCTCGAGGCCAAGGGGGCTGTTTGGCTCCTCAATAGTCCCCCACGCAGATCCAACAGTTCAGGGGATGACTGGAAGCGATGTGATGCTTTGACAAACATCTTTTGGATAAAACTTTTTTTTTATGGTTTTGTGCAGTCCCAGAAATGCAGGGATTGGAATCTGCATTACAACTATGTCAACACAGTATTTCTCTATTTGGGAACAATGACCTTGAAAACTATTAACTTAAAGTGTTACTGCATCCATCTGTAGCTTGTGTGTCACTTCAGATGAGCCTTGGGACCAGGACTGCCATGAACACTAATGTTGGGTTGTGTTTCCTGGAGCCTCTGACCCTAACTTTATGCTTGTAAATATGATTTTGTACAAATGATGTTTCAGAAATCGGCTACAGAAATTATACATTACGTATGTAAAACCTGGTAAAATACAATGAATTTTCATATGGTGAATTTCTTTTTTACATAATGCTATTACATTTAATACATAAATTTCTCTTACTGGAGTTTTAAAGCAGTTTGTTATAGAGAAGGCTAACAGGAAATAGACCTAACGCCACCAGTAGGCGGGATAACATACAATACTGTACATCTCTCAGTGAAAAGACAACGGTTTTACATACTGAATATACCATGTAAAACATAATAAGGAATGGTGCTTTACCATCAAGTATAAATTAAAGATTAAATGTTCCTGCACTGGGGTTGTAAGGTGAATATTTCAGTCTTGAAACATGCCTTGAATTCACCAATTAATACAACAAAAGAGGGCAAGCAATGGACATGCATTTAAGTGCCCCCCCCCAATGCCAGACCACATACTGCATCAATTACAACATCATGGCTGCGTAGAAGAAGGATCCGGGTACTGAAATGGCTAGCCTGCAGTCCAGACCTGTCACCCATAGAAAACATTTGGCGCATCATAAAGAGGAAGATGCGACAAAAAAGACCTAAGACAGTTGAGCAACTGGAAGCCTGTATTTTTTTTTAGGGACTAATCTTACTTTGCTGGAGGAGGAGGCGGTTTGGAGCCACTGACCACAGCCCACTCACAGTGTCTGAAGCATCACTTTAGCATAGACTGCTTTTGTTAGCAGCGACCTGTCCTCTGCACCTGACTCATTTATAAGTGACTCTATTAATATATTGAACTTTGATCAAAAAGACAGAACGGTGTCTCCAATAAGCCCTTGAGAGGCTGCTTTATTTAACTACCATTTAACTAACATCTACTACTTGTGCCTGTAGACTGAGCAGCAACATCTGAGATGGGAGTTCTCTGACACCATGTCAATAGTACACGTGGGAAACAGGCTCAAAGGGTTTGACTGGAAATTGAAAGTATCAATAACATTTATAGTTAGCATTTTTACTACAAACCCGATTCCAAAAAAGTTGGGACACTGTACAAAATGTGAATAAAAACAGAATGCAATGATGTGGAAGGTTGAAATTCCAGTATTTTATTCAGAATAGAATATAGATAACATATCAAATGTTGAAAGTGAGACATTTTGAAATGTCATGACAAATATTGGCTCATCTTGGATTTCATGGGAGCTACACATT